TGATTTCCATGTTATCTAGGACTGACGGGCCCATCGGGTTAGGACCCTCCTCACTAGCTTCATCTCTGGTCTGGTCGACAACCGCGGACTCTGTTGCTGTCAAGGTTGGACAACGAGACTTTTCTGTTCCTTCTTCGATGGTTTGATCCTGCGGTGCTGCTTCTTGTTGGTTCTGCGTACCTACCTCATGTGAGGTTGAGATTGACAATGTGCTCGGGGTAAGGACCTGCTCCTGGTAGTGTAGCCGGGCATCCCTAGTGTCGAGATAAGCATCCAGACGCGCAACACGTGCTATTTCATCGGTCGTAAGGCCGAAGAGCGAAACAGCCGAGAATACTTCGAAGTGATATCGTAAATATTGAAGGTCCTCCATTGAGAAAAGAAGGTCGGCTGCATCAATATCAGTGTATGGGTCGACTTCAAATCCAAGGACACGAGCTTCTCGTATGTGCTGGAACCGTGCTTTCAGCCCTGGGTCTGAGGTTTTCTGGATGATTCGCTCGGCATCAGGACAAGTCAGGACTAGATCAATGGTGTCCTGGCACGCCTTTGGCAAGCCATACAGATCATTGGCCGAATGTTTCTTATGGAATTCTCGCATGTACTCCAAAGCCTCCCCAAGGAACGGGGGGTGCAAATTCCGTCGGATCTTGATCAAAGGTCCTTGTATAGCCGGCGGGGCTAATTTGCTTTCGGCCTCTTGCCTGAAATGTTCAAGGCGCGCCTTCATCTCCCCTGGTCGAAGAAGAAGTTTGATCCGTTTATCAGCATCTTCAAACGTGGTTTCGACATCTTGGTCAACCAGCCGTCTCCCTTGAGCCAACTCTGTCATAATGGCTGGAGGTGGTCGTTCATCATCAGTAGCCATTGTGTCCTTCGGCCGCCATTTAGGGACCGAAGTTTCTTGGGCTGCCCGTCGGCGGGCCATGCAATCTATCCTTTGATGCCGGCGTTTCTGAGATTTGGACAACGCGGTGTAGACGCCTTTCGAAGAATGATATGTATACCAATGTTGATCTCTAGGTTCGGGAGGTTTGAAGGTTTTTTGGCTCCGCGATGATTCTGAACTACTAGAATTACGTTTATAGTAATCATCGTCATAGAATGAAGCATCAAAATCGAGGCGCCGCCTGACCGGGGGTGTCTCTTCCATTCGTACTTTAGGACCGAGCCTATAAAAAACCCCTTGATGTTGGCCTACTTCGGCAACCTTCTGTTGGGTTGCGGCCGTAGGTCGTTCCGTTATAAGCGAAGAGGGCTTCTCCTCTGGCTCACTACCGACCTTGGCTCTGCATTTGCTGCACAAAACCGCTGTCCCATTGTCTTCATCGGTGGTATAATCTACCATAGGTTTGACAATAGCAAGTCCCGTTAAAGCTGTAGGTGGTTTGTTTGAACGAAAATCGGCCATGAAATGTGGCCGAGAATTCTGATTCCGAAAGCGTTGCGTCACAACATCTTCGGCCTTCCCTTTCCCTTTATCTTTAGGTAGGCATGCATCAACCATATTTACTGTTTCCGTGGGGAACGGGTCAGTATCAACACTCATCTTCTTCTCTGGAAATTTCAATTTGCCATTATCAATCCAGCTTTGGACGTTGTCTCGAAACACGACACAATTGTTTGTCGTATGCTTGCTTGAATTGTGGTATTTACAATATACCTTTCCTTTAAGCTCTTCGGCCTTGGGAATGTTGTGACCAGGCCGAAGCTTGATGATTCTTGCTGATAACAGTTGGTCAAAAATTGCGTCAGCCTTTGTAATATCAAAAGTATAAACTTTTGACAGTTTCAACGTTCCCTCAGTGGCCGAACGACTTTTGACTTCCCTAGAGTCAACTTGAGTTAATGCCTTGCGGACGTACGGCTTATCTATCACTATCTCAGCTGCATCCACACTAACGCATTCATCCTCGGTTGATGCATAATTGACAGTAGGATTCTTGTAAATCGTCCCCCGAGTTGGAACCTTCGAAATTTTTTCCTCGCGAAGCAAGTAATCATACTGCTCGACATGCTGGGCTAATTCGTACATATCCCAAAAGTTTGCCCCCAAGAATTTCTTTTTGTATTCGACGTCGAGGCCGTTCAAAGCAAGCCTAACAAATTCGACTTCGGGTAAAGGCACTCGGCACCAATTCCTGGCTGATTTGAACCTGGTAAGATAATCCATTGGTGACTCATCAGATGCTTGAGCCATCCTTGCTAATGAGGAAACTGACATCTCCATTCCTGGCTGATAAAACTGCTCGTGGAATTTCTCGACCAACCCCTTCCAGTTTTGGACGGAATTAGGAGGGAGATTGATATACCAGGCGAATGCTGAACCGGTCAATGAGAAGTTGAACAACCGTAACTTATGGAAATCACTATTAACATCCCCGCATTGCGCGGTGAAACGAGCCACGTGCTCCAACGAGGACAGAGACGATTCACCGGCAAAAAGGCTAAAATCTGGGATCTTGAAACCCTTCGGGTATCCGAATGTTTCCACGTAGGCCGGGTACGGATGGATAAACTTAGGAAACTTCGGCCCTTTCTTCATGGCCGAGTCGATCATCCGCTGAACTTCGGTCATGTCAACAGGTGTTGCTTCGACCCTCTGGTCGGTTCCGTCTGACCTACTATTCGACCCTCCTCTTTTTTCCAAGTCAATTTGTTTGAGCCGAGCAGGAATAGGCTCGGCCGGTACAATTGGTAACGGATTGTTTCCTGGTGGTAAGTGCTGTAGAAGATCGAAAGGCCTGCTGTCACTGACTTTACTAACCAACATTTCGAGCAATTTGGTTTGTCGCTCATTGGAACTGGGTATCACGTCATGCAGCTTGTCAATGCCTCGACTAAAATTCTGCTCGACTGACCGAGACTGCTCGTCTAGTCGCTTCCGAAGAAACGACCTTGTTGGCGGATCAAATCCTTCACCACCATCCTCATCGCACTCTTCTACGATCCCTTCATTGAGAACGCAGGTGTTTCTGTTAGGGATTTCTAGACCGCGTAGTTGACCGCCGAGATTAACTTCTCTCTCTCGGCGAGTCGCGCTCGTGGACTCAGGTGTCACAGCGCTAAGGGGATTCTGCGCCTGCGGCACACTTTGTCCTATGTTCTGATTTGGCAAATCGGCTGTCGACTTTCCCATAGCTGTTTTCTTTTTTACCGATCGTGTTTCAATTGGCATGAACTTCGTAGTCTAGCACTGGGTCCCACTGGGCGTGCCAAAATGTTGACCCTAAAAACTACAAAGCCTACGTGGCGAACAGGCCGAGTAATCTATAAGCTAACTACGTCATTCGGTGATTGCGGGGCGTGCCAACTCGTCGGCCGAGCTCGGCCGAGGAGTAAATTTGTTGATGTTGCTTTGGGTGCGTGGCTGACTTCTGCGTCTTGCGATTGCGGCCGAGAAAGGAACACGTCTCGGCCTCTTGGGCTCTCGAACCTGAAGACAAGGTTACTATTCTTACGAAGTTCAATATCAAATTCGGCTTTCAATGTGCCGAACGTAATAACGTGTAACACCTCACTTCGCCAAGAAGGCTGATGAGATGACCTCGACCAATAAGGGTTCAGAAACCCTTCTCGACCGAGACTTGGATAGGTAATCAACCGTTCTCGCCGCAGTGCTGTTGATGCCAACGGAAGATACTGCGAGACCGATTGATTCTACGGTGACAGAGATATCTATGCCGACTTAAGATATCACCGGTTGCTCCCACAGTGCTGTTGATGCCAACGGAAGATGTGTAAGCGAAAAGGAAAAAGAAAAATCACAAGTTGTGAGAATTTGCGCAGGGCAATTTTGTGTTGATTTGCAGGGGGCTTCCTTAATGCACAGCTTCCCCTATTTATAGCGCTGGTCCTCGAGCCCGAGTTACAATCCTATTCGGACTAGGTTTCCCTCCCTGGATCAACATCACCTCGACCAATCCTATCTCCACTAGGACTACGAATCTAGTCCTTAACTGAGCCGGATTCGCTTTCTGGATTACTGATCCCGTCGAGAGTCCCTATTGTACTAGGACTCGGCTTGCGTTCTGATTTAACCGACCTAGGCTTGGAAGCCCATGAGCTGAACGATCCATGGCCCTTTCGCCGCACGGCCTCCCGGGCCGAGAGTGATCCTACCCTTGGCCCAAACTATTATTTTGGGCCCAAACAATAGGTCTAGTCCTTCCTGCCAGCGGTTAGGGCTTGGATCATTTGGAATGAGGATTGAGGTTTGGGCAACCAATTATGTGGATTAGGCTTGATGATTATAACAATATTATAAATTAATATTAATCGAATCAATTAGTTTTAATTTTGAATTAAGTTTTGAATTAAAATTAATTAAAAATGTTTTGATTAATAGAGGTATGAACGAGCCTATATAATTGGAGTCTTCAGTTCCATCAAAACATCATATTTTCTTCTTTCTTTTTCTTCGGTACAGATTCTCAGAGAGTAAACACACAAAACAATTCGCTAGAATTCTATAATCCAGTGTGGGTTGTAGAATTAGGTAGTTGTATCGTGGTCGAGCATACATTGTAGAACCACAAGCACAAGAGTGAGACGAAAATACTGTTTAAAGAACATAGCGTTTGCTCTAGCCTCTACCTTTGATTCACTCAAGTTAGTATCATTTTAATTTATGTATTTATTGTGTAATTTCATTTTGTATTGCAAGTATATTTGAATAATAAAGTATAAGTATTTTGAGTTCTGTATTTCTGTTATTTTTGTTTTTAAATTGTTCTCCAACACAAAGTGGCATCGTCTCGTCTATATATCTAAGACCTCCCTCCCTCCATGGAGAATTCTTTAATACTTTGACGTCGACTTTGAACAGGATGAAAGATTTAAATTCTACATTTTATATGTTCACTCTAATCAATTGATATCAGTTTACTCTGCTGCTAGAGATTTTGGTATATCATATATTTTGCTGCGTTAAAACAAACACTTATTTGGGTTGTTTGACTACAGTTAAAACATAACATCAACCCTAGGAGACTCCAAAATTTTAGCCCAAATTCTACACACAAAAAGTGGCAAGGTTTCCAAACAAATCCACTCCACTATTCAAGTTATTTGGCAGTTATTGAAACAAATTCACCTAATTTCAACGTACTTATAATAACAACCGCTGATGGCCTTGCAAACTTTTGAACATAAACTAATTGCTTCCTGTCAATGCATATACTTCCGTTGACAACTTCATTGTCGAATTTTTCTGGGTGCAACAAGTAAAAGGTCAATTACAACACGTTTGCCATCGTCCTTGGCAAGGGACCAGTAAGCTCTCCTAATCTTTAATCGTGTCCTGTTGGTACTACTATTTACCATATTCTGCAGCTTCCTTGCAATGGTCGCAGTTTGCAGATAACTCGCTGACGGTCAATGTTTGTACAAGCTCTTCAACATCCTCCTTGAATACTAGACGAATGGCACATTCATGCAGTCCTAAGCCCGGGCCATTGGACCCAAAAGTTGCACCGACTAGATTCAATTGATTCCACGATTCAGGAAATAGAGCACGCGGTATATAGACAAACCAAATCAAATCATGCGCATGCAACCACATGTCTTTATCTGTATCGAATGTAAAACGGAGCTTATTGTCACGATCAACCTGAGTGTTCAGATCACAAATGAGCTCACGAGCGAACTCTGAATCCGGAGTGTCATTGATGATGTTTGGATGTTCATGGATCGATGAAGAAACAGATAGAGCAATCCCTAACCAATTACCATCATCGTACAAATTTTGAGGCACTTCGATTTGTGCAGAGTCGCCTTTATTCGGATTCAAGAACCACTTCGGAAATTCAATTCCAGCAAGCTTCAATGCAAAGTGATCGTCAGACCAGACCTGAACAGAAAATTTCTAAATGTGAGAGAGAGAGAGAGAGAGAGAGAGAGAGAGAGAGATAAGAGAGACATACCCAGTTTCTGATATTTTGAGAGATCAACTGGAACTTTCTTTCGTGTGGAGTACTGTGATCGCATTCTTGGGGACTATGTTTTTCCTCTGTGAGGACTTTGTGACGTTGCTCCAGAATTAAGTTTATCCAATGTTTTACCACCAATTCATTATAATATCCAAGGAGGGTGTCTGAACTGCCTAATATACACTGTATGATTGTCTGGACAAATCCTTGTAAATCTTGCTTGTACAAAATCCGGAGCCCACAGATCTTAACCTTTAAAGCAGGTCTATAGGTAATAAAGGAAAGGCAGATTTTCCTTGATGATGTTTGAGTGAACAGTTCGGGAATCATTGCTCGTGGAATGTAAACAATTAAAAGGTGATGCTTATCAGATATCACGGACTCAAAGTTTAGGGACAGATTCATATAATGTTTACCCATTTCGAGTCGACAAGAACCATGATACTGATCCTCCTTTACGATGTGCTGGTGTTCCACTGCAAGTGATACGCATAGAGAAAACCCCATCCACTTCTTACTCTTGTGCAGATTCTGAGGCAACTTGATCGTCACAGAAGTCCCAACTTCAGTGTTGAACCACGCTGGGGATCCACTTAAAGAAAAATCATAGTTTTGGTACCTATGGTTTAGTCCCTGGAGAATGCAGAAATAATGTGTTGAGAGAGAGAGAGAGAGAGAGAGAGAGAGAGAGAGAGAGAGAGAGAGAGGAGAGACCTCCAGGTATCTTGGAAGAACAGACTCAATGTTCCTTCTCAACAGAACTGTGGAACCTTCTTCACAAGTTGGAATAAATTTCTCCCTGTATATATCAAAGAACTCCAACGTTAAATGAAGGATGAAGTTTTAAATTTTTAACGCAGCTAATAACGTAGTTTTCAGAAATTAAACTCTACCATCTCAAAATGTCATTCTCCAGATTAAACCATCCAAGCTCTGATGCAGCTTTACCAACTTCATTCAAATTGGAGGGCTCAGAAGGGATTATTTGCTGACTTTGTTTGGACAGCACAGGTATTTGTTGTTGTAGCTGCTGCCGCCCTCCAATACCAAAACTATGTGGTATGAATGTTTGGATAAGCTTTTCAACATCTTGCTCATAAATTAGATGAATCCCACATTTCTGGACCTCCATGCACGGGTTGTTGGTTTCAAATACAGACCCAATAACAAAAGATTCATTTAACATCCTTGGAAAGCACACACAAGGTACATAGAAAGCACAAAGTAACTCAGAATTTGATTCAACTGAGTTGAGATGTGTCCAGTCAAGGAGGAATGGTTCCAGTTGAAATTCCTCAGTTTCCACTCTGCATTTGTAGAAGTAATCAGAAGCAAAATCCGATTCAATCTGGGAGACACCAGGTTTTCGCTTCACCAAGAAAACAATAGCAACGCCCATCCACTTCTTATCATTTTTCAAATCTGGAGGCACCGGGATTGATATGAAATCTCTGGTAGCTATGTTGTTGAACCACTTTGGAATTTCATTTTGATAATCACAAGACTTTATGGAATATGACTTATAATCGAATAGCTGTAACATAAAACAGAAGGATTATGATTAGTTATAGAAAAAGACAGATACTTGGCATAGCGAAAATATGCTCGACATTTTTTTGTGGGTATGTGTGCGTGTGAGACAGAGTGAGAGAGAGACTTCAATGTCTTTTTGCAGCACTTGATTTGGCAGCGAAAGATCATGAACTGGTTTCCATTGTTGAAGTTTATCTGATTCGGGGTCAAAACTAAAGAAACTACGCCCTGGGACAGTTGATGAAGTCCACGTCTTTGTATGTTTTGGGTCTGGTGGCGATGAAGTAGAAGATTCTTGATGCTTGGATGAAATCAGGGCACTGATTGTAGTCATTCCAGAAACATCTGAGGTCCATACTTTGAATTGATCTGGGAAATCTATCAGTGATGTACAATCATCAGCGGGCACATGTCGAACACTTAATGGAAGCTTCTTAGGCAGTGACTGAAGCCTACTACAATTCCTCAATTTGAGAGATTCAAGCTTGGATAGCTGGCCAATGCTTTCGGGTAAGTGCACAAAGTTATTAGCACTCAAGTCTAATGTCCTTAGGGAAATTAAGGTGCCAAGATCATCAGGTATTGCTCCATCTATCAGATTGCAATCACTTAAGTTTAGGCTCGTCAAAGAAGTTAAACCAGAGAATGAAGTAGGCAACAACAAGCTCACAGGAACATTTCCCTTTCTACCCCACCACCAACAAGTAAAGAGAGAATGCCACGATTTTGAAGGTTGATCTTTACATCCTTGGAAGGATAGAGTCTTCAGATTTTTCATAGCTGCAATGGATGATGATTCTCTTATAGCAGTTCCACTTATATCAAGGTCCTCAAGATATTCCACACAATTCAAATCCTCAGGTATGTCATCAAGTTCTGAGCAACCTGTTAGAATGAGAGTTTTCAGAGACGTCAAATACTGAATGGTACTTGGAAGACGGAAAAGGTTTCTGCAGCCTCCCAAATTCATCAATGTAAGACCAGTCAAACGTTGAATTGATGGAGGTAAATCTTCAATGGCAGTTCCATCTAGATGAAGCTCCAACAAGCTTTTCATATTTCCTTCAATTTCAGGAAACCTCTTGAGTCTTGAAGAACCAGAGAGAGTTAAAGTTTAAGAGATTCCAAACTGATGAAAGGTGGAAGGCTCTCAATGGATTTGCAGTTTCTCATATTCAACAAGATAAGGTTTTTGAGAAATCCAAGGGATGGGTGAACCTCAACCAATCTTGTACAACCTTGAAGCACCAACTTCTCAAGATTTGGAACCTCAACGAAGTTTGGGGTTGCAATCAAGTACACGGAATCACTTAGATCGATAAACTGTAGCATACTCCAGCGCTGGTACAACATAGAAATTACTATAAAGTGAAATAAATAATACGTTGATATTAATATTTTTCAAAATATAAGCACGCACAAAGACATAATCTTACTTTATTTCCCCTCCATACTTGTTTGATACGGCTTGAATGCATGCGGAGTTCCACTAGCTTATCTGATTGAAAGTTTGATGGCAAAGAATTAAAAGGAAATGCATGCCATTCCAGCAGTTGTAACTCGTTAGAAAGGTATCTGATAGATCCAGGAAAGTGCACATTACTAATTTTTAACAATCTTAGCTTGCACATCTTTGAGAACGGGTCAACATTTACGTGAACCACCTCTTGTTTTGGTAGATTCAAGAATATACCTTCCACTGCAAGTGTTCCCTAACAAAAAAGAAGGAAATTAGTTGCAGTACAAGGACATAGAAAATACAAAGATGATAAATTCGTTTTAGTAATCTTTGAATCTATATTTGTAATAATATATTACCTCATTGTTTACAAATACATGGATGATATCCTTGGGAAGCCATAGCCTGCTACGTTTGCCCGGCTCTTCATAGCATTCACGACGAACAATCTCCCAACCTAATTCTTGAATCAAATCATGCATCCACAATTTTCTTCCAAATAGAGTTAGTAGAGATTTTTCCATGAGAACTGCTATATCAATGTCTGGACGATAGCCACAACTACTTTCCAGTATTCTTGTAACTCGATCTTTATCCTCCCCTTTAAAGAAACATGCAATGTCCAAAAATACTTTCTTTTCTACGTCTTGTAAAGCATCAAAACTTACTTTAAGCACATCAGTAATTCTTCTGTCAGGATTTTCTTTAAGTCTATCCAAAGCACTTGACCATACTTCTACGCTTCTACCAAAGAGGAATGAACCCAACACTTCAATAGCTAATGGGAGGCCATTAGCGTATTCCACAACATTCTTTGATAGCTCGAGAAAGTCTTCTCCAACCTGGTCTTTCTTGAATGCTTTCCGACAAAAGAGCTGAAGAGCTTCATCATCAGTTAACGGCTTAACCTTATACATTTTATCCACTCCATATGTGCATAGCAAGTGCTCATCCCTTGATGTTATAATGATCCTACTCCCCGAACCAAACCAACTATGACCACACAATGCTTCCAACTGTTCTAATTGATCCACATCATCAAGAATGATAAGAACCATTCTAGTACGCAGTCTCTGTCTTATCTTATTGATCCCCATATGGATATTATGTACATCTACACTACTCTCGAACAGGATATCTGAAAGAAGTTGCTTATGTAAATGGACTAGACCTTGTTTCTCAGTTACCTCTCTAACATTGGCAAGAAAGCTGTAAGCATCAAACCGAGAACGTATCCTATCAAAAACTACTTCTGCAATGGTTGTCTTGCCCATGCCCCCCATCCCCCAAATCCCTAACATGCATACATTGTTCAACCCTGTGTCTAGGCATGAAATCACTTCGTTTACGCGTGAATCCATCCCAACTAAATCCATATGTATACTTGAAATTGTTTGATTTAGTTTAGTGAAAATATATCTCACAATATCTTCAATAATTTTCGACTCATATCTGAAAAAACGAATAAATAATCCTCTCATTGAAGTTTTGTCAGCACCACTCAACCAAATAAAAAGATAACAAAATGTTAAATTTTGTATGTTCCTTCTTCTTTGTTTCAAGAACGGAAAAAGCTCTTTGGTATACCTCCTCTGCAATTTTCTTGTAAAAAACAAAAAGAAAGAATAAAGTTTTACAGTGCTACAAGGAGATCGGTAACCTTACCCATCTTGTAAATGCCATCCATAGAGATCAGCTACTTCAGTAAGTGCATCTCTCCACTTACGCACCTTCTCTGTGTTATCCTTAAAGGCTTCTTCATGCTTGGAGAAGGCTTTCCTGAAATTCCCCATTTGTTTTCGTACCTCAGATGGATCCACGTCATAGAAAACTGGGAGTATTGTCTGCCCCATCACTTTCATGCATTCAACACTCTTTGCAAGCTCATCCAAGCAACATGTTGAGTAGGCATAGTTTCTTGAAAGAACAACAATTACATATCTTGATTCTTCAATTGCTTTCAAGAGTTCTGGCGAGATGGGATTTTCCCTCTCAAGTTGTTCAGCACCTCTGAATGCAAATACTCCCTTGTGATTCAGAGAAGTATACAGATGGTCTACAAAATTTATGCGGGTGTCAACGCCTCTGAAACTGAGGAACACATCGTATGTCCATTGAGGAGTTGGAGGAGACCAATAAGAAGACGAAGGAATATCTGTTTGGCTGATCATTGAAGGTGTGGAAGGTTACCACTTTGGCTATGGTGAAGATTACAGAAAGGTCTGTGCAGAATCTGATCAGAAACACTGAAAGTGGGTGTTAACACTATGCATTTACTCTGAACAAATGATAAATCATCACAGAAAGCTTTTTGAAAGAAGAGAGAATCTACCTAATTGGTAAATCCCTCATTTCCTCGCACTATCTCTACCACAAAAACGAAAACCAAAAACTAAATATTAATTTCGCTATATTTTTTCAGTTTTGGTATTGATAGTCTGATAGAACCCTGTGTAAGATTAGTTTAATACATAACTGATTCACTAAAACCAAATAACCACTAACCTGTAGAAACCATGTCGGCTAGAATGCGATCGAGATAGGCTTCTTCTGCAACTCGTCAATCTCAGAATGCAATGGCTCAATACTATGGGGCGTGAGGCTCTTTTATTGCGTCAATTGAGAGTGCAGGGACCCTATATTTATACCTTATGCAATGGTGTTCAACTAGGAGACTTCCCATAATGTTAGTCCTAATTGAACTCAACCTTATCATGCAATCCCAAGTATCCATATCAGATAATATAACAGTAGTATAGTTTATCAGGATTGTTTAGCTACATTCCTTATCGTACACACCTTTTGGTAGCTTACAAACAAAGTCATACTCGAACTCTATAACCTCAAACCTTAGATACATGTATTAACAAGTGTGCAGCTCTCATGAGACTTACATTCTCCCACTAGAGCCAACACTTGTTAATCATAGTAATACTGAAGAGAGATTTATACTTAAGTGGCCATGAGTTTAGAGTTGAACATAAACCTGAAAATCCAGTTTCTGTCATTGCAGAGTATTCATAAAGAACTATAAGGAATTATATGCTCATCTCCAGAACAGCATCCCCATAATCACTTCATGAAACCATACCATACATGAAACTCCAACAAGACATGGAAATATGTAAATGTGACTGTACATATATATTTAAACACATTTGACATGTGGTCCTCCTTATGACTACCAACGTAGGCTTTCTTCATGCTTCATAAGAAACCTCAATGGTTGTTAATCTTTAAACAATAACACAGATTGATATTCATGTATTTAAAACATATCATTATAACTAATGCTGTATGCTTTAAGGGAACTTTGAACAACCAACAGCAACATCTTTATTAGTTATAAATATAACCTTATTCTCAATGCATAAATCTAAACATGCTAAATTAGAACTTAACAAATTGAACAAACACGACTCCCACTATTCCACAGCTTCAAAACCTGCTAGCACACCCATTTTAGCAACATGCCCTTTGAACACTGCAGCTGGCACCGGCTTATTCAAAGGATCTGCAATCATAGAACCAGTTGCCAAGTAATCAATCTTAACAAGTCCTGCCATTACCTTTTCTCGAGCAATGAGATATTTAATCTCCAAATTCCTTGTTGCAGTTGACCTTTTGTTGTTCTTAGAGAAAAAGATGGCTGCATTGTTATCACAGAATATCTAAATAGGCCTTTGAATTGAGTCTACCACTCTCAATCCTGTAATAAAATTTTTCATCCATATTGCCTGATTGACTGTTTCACAACATGACAAGTACTCAGCAACCATAGTTGAGGCTGCAACTATATCTTGTTTAGAACTTTTCCACGACACAGCTCCTCCTGCCATAGTGAAGACAAAACCCGAAGTTGATTTTAAATCATCAGGACATCCTGCAAAGTCAGCATCACTATAACCTTCCAAAACCAAACGTTCAGTTTTCTTGTAAATGAGCATGTGAGATTTAGTTCTTTGAAGGTATCTCATAACCCTTTTCCCTGCATTCCAATGTGCTTCTCCAGGGTTGGACTGAAATCTCCCCAGAACACTAATGGTAAATGCAAGGTCAGGCCTTGTACAGACCTGAAGATACATCAAACTTCCCACCAATGAAGCATATGGTTTGTCCTTCATGTTCTCCCTTTCAATCTCATTTCTTGGACTTTGTTCTTTGTTCAGTTTATCACCCTTCGAAATTGGCATTTCTGTGGTTCCACATGATGCCATATTGAATCTTTTTAACACTTTCTCTATGTACCCTTTCTGCGATAGTCCCAGGAGTCCTCTCTCTCTATCTCTTTTGATTTCAATTCCCAAGACATACGAAGCTTCACCCAAATCTTTCATTTCAAACTTGTACTGCAAGAAAGACTTAGTTTCATCCAATAGGCTAGAACAATTTGCTGCTAAAAGAATATCATCCACATAGAGCACTAATATGATATAAGTGCTCCCACTGACTTTCAAATATATACAAGCATCAGATGGATTTTCTGTAAACCCATGCTCCTTAACAACATGATGAAACTTCAAATACCACTGCCTAGATGCCTGTTTTAAACCGTAAATTGATTTATTCAGTTTACATACCATATTTTCCTTCCCTTCTTCTTTGAAGCCCTCAGGTTGTACCATATAAATATCCTCCTCTAATTCACCATTTAAGAAGGCTGTTTTTACATCCATTTGATGTAAAAACAAATCATAGTGTGCTACCATTGCCATGATGACTCTGAATGCATCTTTAGTAGACACTGGACTAAATGTTTCTTTGTAGTCAATGCCCTCTTTCTGTGTAAAACCCTTGGCAACAAGCCTTGCTTTGTGTCTTTCCACATTTCCATTTGAGTCTCTTTTGGTTTTAAAAACCCATTTACAACCTATGGGTTTTATTCCTTCTTTTAACTCTACCAAGCTCCAAACTTTGTTTTCCTCCGTCGAGGACAACTCACTCCTCATTGCATCCATCCACTTATCTGCATGAATGTTTGAGGTTGCTTCTTTGTAACTCCCAGGATCATTAAACTCTGACATATTAAAGTCTAATTCTGCCATATATACAAAATCTGAACATAAAGTGGATTTTCTTACCCTACCCGATTTCCTCACAAGCGGCGGTGCAATCTCACCAATACCCATACCATCGTGTCGGTGTTCATTGCCATTCACCTCAACCATCTCCACGTGCTCTCCATAAACATTTGCATGCTGCTCTAGTCGGTGCTCCAGTCGGTGCTCTTGACGGTGCTCTTGTCGGTTCACATGGCTGCCATTTGCAGCTGCATTTTCCACGTGCCCTTCCTCATTCTCTTCATGTTGTTCATCATTTAATAATGCCTCAATTTCATTACCATTCACTAGTGCGTGGTTGCTGCCATGTTGAATTAAGTAATCATCATTTCCCATGCTATGGTCCACGTGATTTGGAAGTTCAACCACTGACTTGGGTACAGTTTGTTGTTGGTCATATTCAGCCCATATATCTCCTTGTTCTTCAAAAACAAATTCTTCTGTCCTCGAACAGTTTTCAGCATCCATCCCTAGTTCCATAAATATTGTTTTGCCAATCTCAACAATTTTCATGTCATGATTGGGACAATAAAACCTAAAACCTTTAGACCTCTCAGCATATCCCACGAAATAACAAGAGAGTGTCTTAGGATCGAGCTTCTTGCCATTAGGGTTGTAAACCTTAGCTTCAGCCTTGCATCCCCAGATATGTAAATGATTAAGGCTAGGTCGCCTACCTGTCCACAATTCAAAAGGTGTATTCACAACTGCTTTGGATGGCACTCTGTTAATAATGTAGTTAGCAGTCTTGACTGCTTCTCCCCACAAAAAAATTTGGCAAGTTCACCTTGCACATCATGCTTCTAACCATGTCCATAAGGGTTCTGTTTCTTCTCTCCGAGACTCCATTCTGCTCAGGTGTACCAGGAGTGGTATACTGTGCTACAATGCCATGATCTTGAAGATACAATGCAAATGGTCCTGGTTGCCTGCCAGTTTGACTTTGCTTACCATAGTACTCACCTCCTCTATCAGACCTAACCACTTTGATCTTCCTTTCCAATTGGTTTTCAGTTTCAGTTTTTTAAAAATTTTAAAGACTTCAAGAGCTTTTGACTTCTCAGGGATTAAATATATACAACAGAAACGTGAAAAATCATCTATAAATGTTATAAAGTACTTGTTTCCATCGATTGTTTTTGTAGGAAAGGGGCCACAAATATCTGTATGAATGATCTCTAAAAGTTGTTTGCTTCTAGTCGATCCTTCTTTTCTTGAATTAGTCATTTTTCCCTTGATGCATTCTATACAAAGTTCGAAATCATTAAAATTCAAGGGTGGTAAAATTTCACTTTTGATCAAGAGTTCCATTCTCGGTTTTGAAACATGTCCGAGTCTTTTATGCCAAAGATGGGATGACTGTTGTGGTTTTTCATGGTTCTTTTCAACATTAAAATCACGTTTTCAACTCTTAATTTGAACTGAAACATCCCATCACATATAGAACCAGTGCCAATGTGAGAAGAATTGTAAAAGATGTTGAAGCCAATTTTATTTAATGTAAAATAATAACCTAGCAAAACAAGTTTTGAAACCGATACTAATTTCCTCCTCATGGAAGGTACATAAGCAACATTTTCCAAATCCAAATGAAAACCAAATTCTAACTTAAGTCTAACAGTTCCTAAGGCTTTGACTTCAACCCTTCTTCCATTGCCCACCAAGACCTTCACTTCATCTTTATTTGGTGTTCTCCTTATTGTGAAGTCCTGCAATGAATTCGTAACCTGAATAGAAGAGCCAGAGTCAAGCCACCATGCATTACTAGGTATGTCAACTGAATTAGACTCAAAACAAACGAAAACCTTTTTACCTTTTTTCACTTCTTGCTTGGCAAGCCAAGCTTTGTATTTTGGACAATTTTTCTTCATGTGGCCTGCATTTTTGCAGAAAAAACATTTGAAAATACTTGGTTTGTTAGGTTTAAAAACTTTCTTAGAGGAGGAAGTACTTCTGGTAGCATCTTTTCTGACAGTATCATGGTTACCATGCTTGGGGTTTTGGTTGTAGCTTTGGACATAATTCACTGATTCAGCCCTTTCTTTCTCAGCCCTTTCTTTCTTAATTCTGACTTCCTCACCCACACATATGGAAATCAATTCATTGATGTCCCACTTAGCTTGCAGTGCATTATATGAGACTTTTAACTGAGTGTAACTTTCAGGTAGAGAATTCATAACTACATGAACCAAAAAGGTCTCAGAAATTGGTACCTCAAGCATCTTCAATTTTCCAGCAATGTCCACCACTTTGAGAATATATTCCCGAACACTTTCAACTCCATCATATCTAATAGTGGTGAGAGAATTCATCAGGTTACCTGTCTCGGTCTTCTCGGACTCCTTGTATTTTTCTTCAATGGATTTCATAAGATCCTTGGCTTTGGATGTTTCTGGGAAACCCCCGCGCACAACATCAGTCATGGTCCTTCTGATAATCATGAGAGAGATTCTGTTTGCTTTCTGCCATTTTCTCATGCTTAGACCTTTGACTTGCTGTGCATCCTTCATCGGGCAGCAGTGGTTCATCACTCCTTAGTGCCAAATCCATATCCATCACCCCAAGAACAATCTCAAGGTCTTGCTTCCACTTCTTATAATTCATTCCAGTCAGTGGCTCAATGGTATTGAGATTCATGGAGCTTGGATTGACACCTTTAAAACCGCAATATGCAAAGAAATTAAACTTTAGTCCCATATCCATATGTCACAGTTTCAACATCTTTGAATGTTAAAATTTATCAACAATTTTCTTTATCACAATGCCAACATATCCCATGAACGAACCTGACTTTGATCATGACTATAAACCTTTGTGGTTTTGTGGTCATGTCGGTGCTCATTCATGGTTTTAATGAAGCATTCTGCCACTTAGAATTTGATATATAAACAACGGATCATCTTTAGATGATTAGTGTTTACATATCAAACTCTAGTGCAACTACTGATGTCCAAGTTTTTGAAGATATGCATTTGAACACAAACAGCTTTAGCTGATATATGCTTAATACATGAATTCCCTGATAACCTGTCATCAGTCCATAATCTGCAGTAAAAAATTGTTCTTGATGCTTTCATCTTAGGGTTAATTGGTATGTGAAAGCTCTGATACCAAATGTAAGATTAGTTTAATACATAACTGATTCACTAAAACCAAATAACCACTAACCTGTAGAAACCATGTCGGCTAGAATGCGATCGAGATAGGCTTCTTCTGCAACTCGTCAATCTCAGAATGCAATGGCTCAATACTATGGGGCATGAGGCTCTTTTATTGCGTCAATTGAGAGTGCAGGGACCCTATATTTATACCTTATGCAATGGTGTTCAACTAGGAGACTTCCCATAATGTTAGTCCTAATTGAACTCAACCTTATCATGCAATCCCAAGTATCCATATCAGATAATATAACAGTAGTATAGTTTATCAGGATTGTTTAGCTACATTCCTTATCGTACACACCTTTTGGTAGCTTACAAACAAAGTCATACTCGAACTCTATAACCTCAAACCTTAGATACATGTATTAACAAGTGTGCAGCTCTCATGAGACTTACACCCTGACCCGCAATGGCCTCAACCTGCAATGGCAGCTATGGTGACAGTGATGAAAGGACAATTTAGAGAGAAAAGGAAGAAGGAAATTTTATATTGATTAATTCCACGATGCCCTTACAATTTCCTCTGGCCACCATTTAACCACGAGCCATTGTATTTTTTCCCCACTGGACTCCACTAAAGACTTAGGTGATTACATTTGAACCCGAGTACAGATTCCGATGCTTCTTGCCATCCATCTCCTCTTACTCTGCCGCAATGAGACAAAGTGTGCTTCGCCATTCCAACATTATAGAAATATAATACCTTTGATTAGTTCTAAGTTATGTACCATATTTTCAGGCTTCAGCCAAACAATGGTTAGAGGTATGGAATGGAGACAACAATTGGCTTGATTTATTTAACGTCTCTGGAAATTGAGAAGAAGATGCATAGAGCACACAGAAAATTAGAGTGGGTATGTGAATACGTAACGCGATCCCTACAGTTATCTGGTACCAGTAGGAATTCATTGGTTCCGCCAATTTGGCAATGATACAAGTAATTCCAAGTTTCTGAATCCGATTCAATGGGGGATACTTCAGGATTCTCCTTGACCGACAAGAGAGCACACAGTGCAACCCTCGTCCACTTTCTTTCATTCTTCATATATATATATATATATATATATATATCATTCACTATCTACCAGTCAACAGAAAGGAACAAAATCTCAAGAAAAATCTGCACTTATTTAATGGATAGTCAACAGAAAGAAACAAAATCTCAAGAAAAATCTACACTTATTTATGGATGGATGGATGCTCTTGACAGAACTATGTACATAATACAAGTATACCGACATAATAGCACCTCATGTCAATAAAATAAAAACATATGGACAAAGATTTTATTTTATTGACACGGAACAATACGGTGATAATATAAGTGTGCCATATATGTAGGTCCTTCTCATTCTTGTGACTTGATTTTATGCTTGAGATAATTTTCTGAATTTTCTATCCGCATAGGATGCATAAGTTAAGATCATGTAGGTTATTTCAAAAGCACTATTCTCATTTGTTATTGAATTTATCAAAAATCTATATTGTCATCCTCATTCATATCAGTCTAGCCCAAGAACTTCTTTAGTTAATTTAAGTGAACACAATTATTATCAGACCAAACACTAATTGTGATCTTGACAACTCTTTTTTAAGTAATCTTAAGTGTGAATGTAAGCAAATTAAACTTTGTAATCTACAAATGTAAACAGCTAATCAAATTGTCTGCCATGCCTTGAAAGTTTGACCTAATCTGCAAAATTCAAATACTGTTTATAGACATGCAGATACAAGTTCGAATCCCGATCCCGTAACTTAGACTGGGTCATTGCTTTTCAGATGAGATAAAATTGATACACTTCAATCATTAAAAAGTAAATTAGTAGTATTAGTAATAATAATGATAATGAATACACATTTAGCAACCCAATTTTGCTAACAATGGGCTTGTCTTCACCAACTTTGGTATGGCATGATTCCCTTCCAATGACGGCTCGTGCTGCTTTGTTTTCAGACCATGTTGGGTTTCTTGGCTTCTGCTTCTCAATTTAATATGCATCTCGACATACAGGTTTGTATGACCTTTTTATGTTCTTTTCTTAACCTGTGATGTTGCTTGATCTGTTTTGCAAGTTTAGACCTTTTAGGTTTGCTTTTAGAAGGGTTAGGTTTCATGTCTCCCTCCCCTTTTTTTCCCTGTACCATTATTGTTTTCGTTTGTAGAAGGGTAAGGTTTTATGTCCCCATTCTTCTTCATGTATTTTTTCTTTTTTCTTTTTTTTTCCTTGTACTATGAGGGGTTTGGTTTATGTCCCTCCTAACTAAGTGTAACTTCTTTTTTCTTTATCAATAAAATTCCTCTCGTACCATCAAGCTTTCCCAAAAAAAAAAATTAAAAAGAACCCAAGTGAATCAGGTCGGCATGGTTTCAAACCTTCACAAGGAAGAAGACACCCCATTGAGCAACAAAACCCCACAACTGAAGGAAATAACTTCCCACAAAAGTTGACAAAATTGATCCAATGAAAAAAAGACAAAAGGCTTTACAAGTTGTAACATGCATGCTTGCCCTAGCACTTGAGAATCAGATGATCAACATGTCTTGTACTATACCAATTTTAATTACCCTGCCTTGCTTGTTCCGAATGATAACATTTGGCAGATAATCGGCAGAGGGTCAAAGTTTGTACGAGATCTTCCACATCCTCCTTAAACACTAGACGAAGACCACATTGATGCAGTCCTAAGCCTGGGCTATTGGACCCAAAAGTTGCCCTGACTAGATTGCATTGATTCAGCGAACCAGAAAATTTAGCACGTGGTGCATACGTAAACCAAGTGAAGTTGCAAGCATGCAACCACAAGGCTTTGTTTGTATGCTCTAAACCATGGAGTCTGACATTAGGGAGATTGGTGTCCAGATAGCAATACAGTGCACGACTAAACTCTGAATCCGGAGTGTCAAGAATGACGGTTGGATGTTCGTGGATCGAGGCATAAGAACATGCAGCAATACCCATCCAGTTAGCATCATCGAACAAATTTGGAGGTAGTTGTATCTGTGCAGAACCGCCTTTATTCAAATGCACGAACCACTTGGGAATTTCAATTCCAGGGAACCTACATGTACACTCAGCCACAGACCAGTCCTGTAAATCACAGTTACATATGTGAGATTTATATGAGAGAGAGAGAGAGAGAGAGAGAGAGAGAGAGACCTGATTCCTGTAATGGCTCAAGATCAACTGAAACAGCTCTCTTTCATGCTGCGAGGAACTGAATTGTCTACTGAGTTCTCTATCAATTTTAAGACCTTGCCATCTTACCAAAGTTAGCCAATCTTCTACCATTTTTTTATTATACTTTTCAAAGAGGGTGGTGTCAGAGCTACGCAATATGCACTGGATGATTGTCTGTACAAATCCTTTTAAATCTTGCCGGTAAAAAACACGGTACCCGCACACTTGAACCTCAACGGCAGAGTTGTCAATTCCGAACAAAGTGCTTCTTGAACTTGATCGAGTGAACCATTCCGGCAACTCTGCCTTCGGTATGTAAATAATCCAAAGTTGACTTTTATCACACATAAAATTGGTCGAGCATAGGGACAACTCTATATGAAAATTGCCCGAATTTACTTGACAAGAAACTTTATAACCCCCTTTTACTTTATGCCAGTCCAGTACTGAAATTGACACACATAGAGCAACTCCCATCCATTTCTTATTTTTGTAGAGAGTTTTAGGCAGCTGGGTTGAAACGGAGGACCCGACTCTAGGATTGAACCAAGCTGGGCTTCCACTTAAACCAAATTGATAAAATTGACCCATGTGGTGTAGTCCCTGCTGGAAAATGCATAAATGATTAATTAATGTGTATCTGTGTGTATGTGTGCGCCCGCAAGATGCAAGAGAGAGAGAGAGAGAGAGAGAGAGAGAGAGAGAGAGAGAGAGAGAGAGAGAGTGACCTCCAGATATCTTGGAAGAAGTGACTCAATATTCCTCCTTAAAAGAATTGTTGAACCCTTTTCGGCGGCTGTAAAATTCTCCCTGCAACCAGATAACAAATGGGAAGAAAAAAAAACAAAGGATTACTTTATACATACAGCATCACATAATGATCAAGAAGATTCTAGACGCAACAAAGTTCTGGTCAGAATATCATACCATTCCAAAATGTTATCCACCAAATTAAACCACCCATATTCAAGTTCTATAGCCTTATTAACCTCAATTGGATTGCAGTTATCTTGAGACGGGGTTTGATGTCGAAAACCTTCATGATCATCCTGCATAGTTTTGTGGATAAACCCTGCAACATCTTGCTTGTACACTAGAGCACTGAATCTCAAATGCACACAAGTTTTTTGTGACAATTCGGATTTGATAAGCAGCCTAATAGACAATTGACATAGAAGATGAGAAAACTCGATTGTAGCAAGTTGATGAGAAGAATGAAGAGATGATCAGTTTCTAGAGATTGATGCAGTTGTAAAACAGAAAACGAGTTATGTCGCGTGTGTCATACTGACAGATAGAAATAGCCCTATAAAAGAAGAGAGAGATAGAGATAGAGATAGAGGGAGAGAGAGACCTCAAGGTCTTTTTGAAGCACTTGAGCTGGTACTGAAAACTCATCGACTGCTTTCCATTCTGGATGCTCAACAGATGATTTGAGACAACTGACAGTTGTAGTTTTCATTCCCCCTATAGTTGTTGAAGTCCACGAAGTTAAATCCTTGATGTTTCTCGAGGAAGGAAAAAGTTGTTGATTCTGAGAGGGAATGAGGTGACTGATCGTAGTAATTCCCGTATCATTGGAAGTCCATATTTTGAATTGACTTTTGAAATCAATCAGTGCAATGCAATCATCCGCATTCACTTGTCGAACACTTAAAGGAAGCTTCTTAGGCAGCAATTGAAGTTTACTACAATGGCTCACGTTCAGAGATTTAAGATTGCAGAGTTGAGAGATACCTTCTGGTAAGGAAACAAAATTATTACCACTTAAATTTAAGATTTCTAAGGAGAATAAGCTGCCAAGATCATCCGGAACTTCTCCCTCTGTCAGATTGCAATCACTCAAGTTTAGCTTTGTTAAGGAAGTTAAACCCGAGAATGAAGTCGGCAACAACAAACTCAACGGACCTTGGACCTTTTTACCCCACCACCAACAATTAAAGAGTGAATGCCATGATTTTGGAGGAAGATCCTTACATCCTTGCAAGGAAAGAAACTGTAGATTCTTCATATCTAGAATGAATGATGATTCTCGTATTGCAGTTCCACTTATATCAAGCCTCTCCAGACATTCCACAGAACTCAGATTTGCCGGCATCTCGTCAAGCTCTGAGCAACCTGATAGATTCAGAGATTTCAGAGACGTCAGATACTGAATGGTACTTGGAAGATGCAAAAGGTTTTTGCAGTCTTGTAAGTTCAACAAAGTAAGGCCAAGCAAACACTCAATAGACGTAGGTAATTCCTGTATAGCAGTTCCATCTAAATGAAGCTCCAACAGGTTTCCCATATATCCTCCAATTTCAGGAAACTTCTTGAGTCTCGAACAGGCAGAAAGAATAAAAATCTCAAGAGATTCCAAGCTAATGGAAGGTGGAAGGCTCTCAACGCGTTTGCAGTTTCTCATATTCAACAAAATAAGTTTTTTGAGAACTCCAATGGAGGGGTGAACCTCGACCAATCTTGTACAATCTTGAAGCACTAGTGTCTCAATATTTGGAGCCTCACTGAAGTTTGGGGTCTTGATCAAGTATTTGGAACCACTCAAATCAATAAACTGTAGCATTCTCCAACTCTGATATAATTTAAAGAATAATTATTCAAATGATATGAAACAAATAAAATGGGTTGATATATTAAAAAAATATAATAAAAAGCTTACTTGATTTCCCCTCCATAGTTCTTTAATAAAGCTCGAATGCATGATGAGTTCAACAAGATTATTTGATTGAAAGTTTGATGGAAAAGAACTTAAAGGACATCCATGCCATTCCAAAAGCTGTAACTCATTTGAAAGATATTTGACACACCCAGAAAATGTCACATTACTAATTCTGAGCAATCTTAGCTTGGGCATCTTTGGGAAGGGATCAACATTCCAGAAAACCTCCTCTTCTTTTGGGAAATTCAAGAATATACCTTCAACCGCAATTGTTCCCTAATGAAGAAGAAGAAAGAATTAGTTGCAGGACATACTGTAAAATATTACGAAGATGATAATAAGTTCTAACAATCTTGGAACCTACATTTATACTAACATTTTACCTCATCATTTACAAGTACATGGATGATATCTTTGGGAAGCCACAACCTGCTACGTTTGCCCGGCTCTTCACTGCATTCTCGACGAACAATCTCCCAGCCTAATTCTTGTATCAAATCATGCATCCACAACTTTCTTCCGAACAGAGTTAGTAGAGATTTTTCCATGAGAACTGCTATATCAATGTCTGGACGATAGCCGCAATTACTTTCCAGTATTCTTATTACGTGATCTTTATCCTCCCCTTTAAAGAAACATGCAATGTCCAGAAATACTGTCTTTTCTATGTCATGTAATGCGTCAAAACTAACTTTAAGCACATCAGTAATTCTTCTGTCAGGATTTTCTTTTAGTCTGTCCAAAGCACTTGACCATACTTCTATGCTTCTACCAAAGAGAAATGAACCCAAAACTTCAATAGCTAATGGGAGGCCATTAGCATATTCTACAACATTGTTTGATAGCTCGAGAAAGTCTTCTCCGACCAGGTATTTCTTGAATGCTTTCCGACCAAAGAGCTGAAGAGCTTCATCATCAGTTAATGGCTTAACCTTATACATTTTATCCACTCCATATGTGCGTAGTAAATGCTCATCCCTTGATGTTATTATGATCCTACTCCCTGAACCAAACCAACTATGACCACACAATGCTTCCAATTGTTCTAATTGATCCACATCATCAAGAATGATAAGAACCATTCTAGTACGCAGTCTCTGTCTCATCTTTCTCATCCCCATATGGATATTATTTATATCTACATTACTCTCAAACAGGATATCTGAAAGAAGTTGCTTTTGTAAATGGACTAGACCTTGTTTCTCAGTTACCTCTCTAACATTGGCAAGAAAGCTGTAAGCTTCAAACTGAGAACGTATCTTATCAAAAACTACTTCTGCAATGGTTGTCTTACCCATGCCCCCCATCCCCCAAATCCCTAACACACTTACATTGTTCAACCCCGTATCCAAGCAAGAAAGCACTTCTTTTACGCGAGAATCCATCCCAATTAAATCTGTATGTATACTTGAGATTGTTTGATTTACTTTAGTGAAAATATATCTCACAATATCTTTAATAATTTTGGATTCATATCTGCAAAAAGTAACACTGATAAGTGACCACCTCATGGTATGTTAATCAGCACCACTGCACCAATCAAAGTGATAGAATGGAATGTTTTATATTGTATGTTTTTCCATGAGTAAATTGGATAAAACTACCAAGCCGAATTTTATTTTTTAAAAACGCCCTATACCATAATTTCAAAAGCATACAATCTGTAGCCTAAAAATCATTTTAATGTGATCGAACTATGCCTTGGTTCTAGGCTTTTTGCCTGTAGGAAACATTAATATTTTTCGAACCATAGTCTTCGATTTGTTTTTCAGTCCTTTTAAATTTTGTTTCTTTAATTATTTTGAAGTGGTCAGACAGCTGGCTTAACTACGAAAAAGATATTAAAAGCAGCTTACCCATCTTGCAAATGCCATCCAGAGAGATTGGCTACTTGAAGAAGAGCTGTTCTCCACCTTTGCAACTTCTCTATATTTTCTTTAAAGGCTTCTTCATGCTTAGAGAAGGCTATCCCGAAATACCCTGTTTGTTTTCGTACCTCGGATGGATCCACGTCATAGAAAACTGGGAGTATTGTCTGCCCCATCACTTTCATGCATTCAACTGCCTTTGCAAGCTGATCCAAGCACCAAGCTGAATTGGCGTAATTTCTTGAAAGAATGACAAGTACAAACCTGGATTCTTCGATTCCTTTCAAGACTGTTGGGGAGATGGCTTTTCCCCTCTCAAGTTCTTCATCATCTCTAAACGTGAATATTCCTTTCCGGTTCAAAGCAGCATATAGATGATCCGAAAAGTTTCTGCGAGTGTCCTCGCCTCTGAAACTGAGGAAAACATCGTATGTCCATCGAGAGGTTAGAGAAGAGAAAGAAGAAGAAGGAATATCATTTTAGGTGGTCATTGCAGGACTAAGTCAGGGTGTAAAGGTCTGTTTTATGAAAAATATCAATTCAAATGGTGTATGCAAAAACTGACAATCGGAAGAACACAAGCATCTGTTTAGCTCTTTCAAGGCTAGTTCCGTGTTAGGCTTAAAACTGCAGTATTTGGGGCAACAGCCAAAGCACAATCCACGTGAAATATGCTAGTACAAAAGTTGAGGTGGAATGTTTACCCAAAAAAAAAAAAAAGTTATGGTTGAAGTTTTTCGAAAGCGATGGTCTGATTACTGATTAAGGAGGAGGATCAACACTAAAAAGCATCAGAATGAGGTTCTAGGAAATGTGGTGCGAACAACATTTAGCTTTAGCTGCTTTAATAAAAATCATCAACATTAACATTACTTTTCAAAATGCGGCAGCTACTTTTTTCTTGAGCTTTCACATAACTGTTGCAATATATCACTAATAAAAAACTTCAGAGCTAGTCCCTTTAATCTGTTCAGTGGGTCTAAAAACCTACCAACCATGGTTTTTTCTTTTCTACTAATCCCATGTTACGACCCATCCCTAAATTTACGGTTTTAATAAATTTAAAACGAGAACTTATGAAAATGCCTCTGAAGGCAAAATCATTGACTTATGTTGACCCTCGTATCGTGAGACGTGTTCTTGTAGTACTCGTCGCTACAAATGCGTAGGTGCGAGCGGAATTAAATTTGGAACTAAAATGAAGATTTTACGAAATTCGAATCATCGGGGCATTTTGGTAATTTTAGCATCTCGGGAGATATTTTTCTATTTCGTCTTTTCTTGTCTTGTTTGGTGAGCCGGTGGGGCCCACTTTTGATTTTTGGTCTCCCGGCCCTCTCTCTTTCCCCTCTCCTTACTCTCTTGCCCCATGAACCCTCTCTCTCTTTCCCTTAACTCTCAACTCTCTCTTCTCCCATCTCTCTCTCATCTCTCCCTCTCTATGTGAATCACCCTCCGTACGGGCATAACACAAACAAACAACAAACAACAACAACGACAGCGGCACCTTGATCACCATGAATCCAGAAATGATGGAAAGCCCCCCAAACCCTTTCCTCCATCATCAAGTAGAAAACATAATACTTAAGCATCTGGCAAGAATAATATGTTTCTTAAAAAAATCGCTAAACCGTCTAACAATTCAATCATTAAACGTTACACTGCGACCCAAGATAAAGATAAAGTTCATAGTTCGTGTGAAATCCCGTCCCCAGATTTCACTGTTTAAAATTTCGTATTTTGTATTCGTAGTTTCGAAGCGTATATTTTTTCGATAAGTAAAAGGATGAAATTGCCCCTATTGTACTAAATGGAATTCCTCGCGGATGTATTTGATCCTTTCAATATTTTCCAGATTTCTTTACATATTCGAATAGCACATCTCGATTAGAATGAGTGAGTGCAAACGGAATGTAATTTGGAGTTATAACAAAGAAGTTATAAATGAGCAAAGAAAAGGGTGAAATGGTCATTTGACCATTATCTGGAAGGCTCCAGATTTGTTGGAGCAAAGATCAGTGAAGCCACGTGTGTGGCTGTGATGGAAAGGAAAGGAGAGAAAAGAAGGGGTGCAGACCAATGAGAGGGGAGAGCAAGGAGGGAAAAGAGGGTAGGGAGAACCGGCCGAGCGGGTTCCCTCCCTTCGACCTGCGACCTAACTCGGTTCCTTTCAAAATTTTCGGTGATTTTTCTTCGATATTTCTAGTGAATTACACTGATCCACCACCTACAAATGGATCATCGACCTCCATTCTCCCATTTTCACCAAAAATCTGAGAGTTTTTGGTCTTGGTTTTGCAAGAATTGCACTGATGGCATCACGGGGTTCACGGCGGTGATTCACTATAAGGTGATTCCTTCAACCACCACCACCATTAGCCTTCTCTTGAGCCCAGGAACAAACCCCAAACAAGTTTGGAGGCGGTGCAGTAGCAGAGAAGGCCAATCGAAGTTCACCCATTTTTGGGTTTCCAGCGGATTGAGGATGATTTGAGGTGTTTTCCAGCTGAATTGGATTTCGGCCTAGGTATGAAAGTTGTTCCTCTCATTGAGATCTACATGCCTATAAAATTTGGTAATTTTTAGAATTAGTCGAAAAATTAGGTTTCCGCTCGCCAAAAACTGCCACCTACGGCAGCACGTGGCCAATGGGCCGACGATGCCTCTTTAAGTTAAATTCAATATCCTAATTTCATATTTGATATCCATTTGATGTGATTTGATTGTTTGAACCTCGTTTCATTAGGGTTCGCCACTTGACTATTGTAGCGAACGACAATCCGACTGTTGGATCGTCACCAAACCTTAATGCGTTATAGCACATAATATTTGAGAACATTAGAAACTGACGGATTGGGAATCCGATGTATGGATTTTTCCGAATTGAATTTCTAAGTTTGTAAAATCAAACGTTGACTGCCACTTGAATTGGTGATTGGCGGAGATCCGACCGTTGGATTGCGATTAAATTTTAGTATGTTGTTTTATGAGCATAATAAGAACCTTAGGAAGTTATGGATTTGAAATCCGGTATGTGGATCTTCCGGATCGAACTGTGTAGGGTTGTGGACCCTACCGTTGACTTTTGGTCAACATGTCTCGAGTCATTTAAAATACTAACATTAGTACTACAGGAGACTAAGTGAAGTCTAATGGGCCTACATTGGTTAGTGGGTGACTTTAATATATGTGATATGGTTATTATCTTGGTTTTGTATTTAATGTCTTTTGTGGATATCACTTGATTTTATCAAATGTGATTTGATTGTGTATTAAAAACATTTATGAAATGTGATTTGACGTGCATAATTGAAATGTGGTTTGATTTGCATGATTGATATGATGTGATGAAATGTGAGGGCTAGTTGTGGATATCACTTCATTGATCTGTTCTAAATTTATTATTTGTGCTTTGTTCAGTTTGTTGAGCCTTTGTAAATTGAGACCATCTCCAACCAAACGAGGGCCAAAGGGCCATAGGGCTCGTTTTAGCTCTGTCACAAAAAACCGTCTCCAACCGAGGGCCATAGGGCCAAACATAATTTATTATTTAAATTTAAAAACTACAACAACTTAAATTTAAAAACTACAACTTATATTTAAAAACTACAACAACTTAAATTTAATATCTATAATCATCATGATCTTCATCATCTGTCATTGTAAGAGTATAGTCGGAGGTAAATAACTACCCCTGGGTCATAATTTCATTTTTTTTCCTATCAAAATAGGCCTTACTCATTGGACTGTAATTCGAAGCGTTCCTTTCCATATTCTTATCATCCATCTCTTCTTGTATTTGTTTGGCCAGTTCTTCATGCCTATGGTTCCTTTCTTCCGCGGCAAAGGCATTTTGCTCTGCCATTAATCGCAATGAGGCCGCCACTTCCTGTTGAGCGACATAATCATCATTTGCCTTGCCCTTTTCCTTCAACCTTCAGGCCTTGTTTTGTCTCATAGCCCTAGGTATGGAACCTTCACCCGAAGACTGATTTTCTACCCTTATTTGTTGAATGGTGGGAGATCCATCATCATCCATATCTACAGTTGAGGATGCAGTTCCGAACACCGGCATAGGACCTACTCTATGTTGAGGTGGATCTTCAAATAACACCCACCCTTTACAAATTTCCCAACAACTATGATGCTGAAAGGGTTTCGAGCTGCCCTCCATATACAATTCCTTCGCTTGGCATACCTAGAAAGTATAATTACAAAAATTAAAGGAAATTAATTTATGAAATTAAATGTAATATAATTAAATATTTAAAATAAATTGTGAAAACACTTACTTCGTCGTAGTAATTGGCGCCGCTTTCATGTCTACTTGCGGCTACTAACAGTGCTTGATGTCATTTGTTCAAACTTGGCTGAATATGTTTCTTCCATCTTGAAGAACAACTCTCGTGGTTTTGGGTATTCGATGGAGTGGTGCCTTCGTAGAACTTTAAGTATTTTTTAGACACACGAGTCCAAACACCATCACTTGTTTGAGAACTCCCCCTCACACTATCTTCTGAGACCCATCTATAAGCCCTGCAAAGAGCTTCATCTTCGTTTCGGGTCGAAGTCCTACTTTTCAATGCATCTGAGGCCATTTGAAAATTATTGAAAAAATTGAAGGAAATATTATTGGAAGAGGTAAAAAAATATGAGAATTGAAATGGTGTAGGAATGGTGAAAAATTTGTGAGGAATGGTGTAGGAATGGCTTAGGTATTTGTAGGAAAAAATGAGAATTTTTAAGAATTTAAAAAAAAAATATTGGCCCAAAATAAATAAATAAATAAATAAATAACCAACGGTAACTTACGTCAGTTAACTGTTGGGGATTCAAAATTAAGCCTAGCCCGGGGCTGGCTAGCTGGCTTATTTGGGCTGGCAGGTTGGCCCTTTTTTTGTCCAGTGGGGCCCACGAGTCCTTTGGCCTAACTCTCGGTTGGAGACTGTTTTCGAGCTACTTTCGGCCATCTGGACCCTTCGATTGGAGATGGTTTGAGTAACTTGAGTGGTGCGGAATCGTATCCATTCGAATTTCGTTGAGAGGTTAGAAATCCCTTTTAGAATCGTATCCTAGTTTGGATTCCCTTGAGTGGTCCGGAATCCCACTTGGTATTTTGGTTTCGTTAAGTGGTCTGGAACCTGATGTTGTTGGATTTCATTGAGTGGTCCGAAATCTCATTCTTCAGAGATGTAGGTTTTGGTTGAACTGTGTCGCTCTAGCCCTGCATTTTGGTGCATTGTATATGTTATTGATTGATATGATTGTGGAATAGTGTTGGGAAGCATATGAGTGTGAATGGTATACCTGTGTGAATGGCACGATAACAATTGTTGTTCGGCTTATGGTTGGTATGTAGTGTGATACTTTATGTTTTCTGCTAGAAGTATTTTACGAAAGGTTTAGAGTTTAACAAATGGTGAACTATGAATGACTTGATTCCTTTTTAGGGTGCATAGGCAGTCTAACAAGGAGGTTAGATACAACCATAAAGTATTTCTACGTAATTTAAATCTTGCGATGTGCTTTGTACATATGCCGGAGGCGAGGTATGTAAGAGATACGGATACCTGATGACATCACGTGTCGATCCTGGACGTATGTCGGGCTCGGGGCGTAACAGTTCGTTTACAAATCAAAACGAAGTGCTATCAAAAGAAAATGTTTAAGATGTTGAAAATACAAAACTGGATTAGGCAACCATATCTTTTATCAGTAAGTAAACAAACAATTTAGAATGATACAAACCCGATTCTAGCTCATCTGACTCCTCTCTCATCCTTAGCTCTGTATTTCAAAGGTTGAGTAGCCAACTTTGGAGAAGTCGTCAAATAATCATCATCCATAGATTGAGAATAACTGATGCAGGAGAAGCCAAGGGTTCTTGAGGATACGAGGATAGATGACCTGGGATTTGCTCAACCAAGGGCAACAGAGCTCACTCACGGCGCTAATCGTGGATTCGCTCACACGACCAAGCCAAATGCTTGATTGGGGAAGGAGAAATCACTCGCTTCAATTGCACAAAGCAAAATATATTTTGATTCATTCAAGTCTCCCTAAACATACATATGGAGTCCTTTAAATAGAAAGATTACAATACATTGGTAGGATAAATACTTATTACTAACGATTATAGTTACTAGGAACCTAATAAAACATAGCTTTGAAAGATGAAAAGCCACAAACAATCAAATTTAATATAAAAACTATATTTAATGTCATGCATTGCATCATACTCTTCTTCTCGAAAAAAACTCGTCATCGAGTTTCAGTTGACTTTTGGTTTTCCCTCGATCTTTTGGAAGGCATTTCAAACTTTTCCATAACAAGTACAATAACACAAGAAATATACAAGTGTTCAAAGTCTTAATCCATATTCTTTCTTCAAATGGATAAGCTCAAAATGGCGCATGACTCCAATGGTGAGCAATGCTTCTCTTTTTCAAAGACTTTCTTCTAACCAAATCATCATGATAAAGAAATTTATCCCACATATAATCATGAATATCAGAGTAAGGAGTTTTTGCCCAATGTAGACGTTGTGCATTAATTAAGTCTGAATTTACCACCTCACTCATAAACTGTAAAGTTTCCTTTACATCCACAATCTTTACTTGGTGCTTAACATTCAAGAAACTACCTTCAAGAATCTCATCGATCACGTGAATAACAATATCATCTTCTAAGAAATTATACAAACTTGAGGAGTATAATCTGCTTACCTCACGACCTTCCTCATCAACTTCATTCACAAAACGATTATTGACTTCGTCTTCATCAATGTACTCATCGTAAATTGGTGGTGAATTCCAATTGATGAAGCTAATTTCTTCGAGAATTTGCTCTTCAAATAGATTGTAAATCACAGACATGGTCTTCAACTGCAGTGGAAAAACTTGCTTTGATGCCACTTGATGCAGGAGAAGCCAAGGGTTCTCGAGGAGACAAGGGATAGATGACCTAGGATTTGCTCAACCAGGGGCAATGGAGCTCGCTCACGTCGTTAATCGTGGATTCGCTCACACGACCAAGCTAAATACTTGATTAGGGAAGGAGAAATCACTCACTTCAATTGCACAAAGCAAAATATATTTTAATTCATTCAAGTCTCCATAAACATACATATGGAGTCCTTTAAATAGAGAGATTACAATACATTGGTAGGATAAATACTTATTACTAACGATTATAGTTACTAGGAACCTAATAAAACATAGCTTTGAAAGATAAAAAGCAACAAACAATCAAATTTAATATAAAAACTATATTTAATGTCGTGCATTGCATCAATAACCTACATTCACATTGCACAAAATTCTATAAAAAAAAGGGGACAAATTAACATATTTAAAGTATTAAGATGCAAATATTTTTAAGATAAATTAAGCAAAAAAACGAAATGAATCCAATGAAAATACAAAAGGAAAAGGAATTAAAGAAAAGTTACACTTTAAATATTTCAAATTAGTAATTAATCAACCAGTTAGTTAGTCTTAATGATCTAACATACTAGGGATATCATACAAAAATTCAAATAAACCCTGTAAACTCTCAACTCCTCAACTCCATCACTCTACCACCACTATTTCTGATTCACCTCTCCTTCAAGCTTTCCGATTACAAATTTATAATTGAATAGTCCATTTCGAATCATATATACATAGGCAAAAAAGCAAAAGCTATACTCCCACTGTAAGATCCCACATTGCACAGGGGAGTGATCCTTATATGTATATTCACATCCTTACCTAGCATGAGGCCTTTTGGGAGCTCATTGGCTTCGGGTTCCATCGGAACTCCGAAGTTAAGTGAGTAGCACACGAGAGCAATCCCATGATGGGTGACCCACTGGGAAGTTCTCGTGTGAGTTCCTAGAAATAAAACTGTGAGGGCATATTCGGGGCCCAAAGCGGACAATATCGTGCTACGGTAGTGGGGTGGGCCCGAGATGTGGTGGACCCCGGGCCGGGATGTGACACCCACCACATAAATTAATCAGTAACCAAACAAAGAAAAATTCTTGGAGACCAGAACAAACCTAATTGAATTTTCATGCAAGTTATTGTAATTGAAAAGAAAAAAACATATATTTAAGTGCCCAAAATTTAAGCTTTACACCATATTATGTTCTTCTAAATGCACAATTCTTTGGCCTTTAGGTAGTTTCTATTGTGAAATTTCGTTCCTGGATTTCATTGTTATAATCTACGTATTTGTATTATTGAGATTTTATATTATTTCTCAAGAATTTATTTTAATTTGTTTGAATTTAGATTTTAATTAAACTAGTTACAAAGTTTATAGTTTGGAAATTAATTATTTAAAATCCGTAGACCTTTCGAGGTCACAATTTATATTCTCAATAGATCTCGAAACCATGAACGCATAGGTGAAAGCTGTTTGCGAGTCTTGATTATAGCGGTATAGTTACTAACGTTTGAAGTTGTGTTACTAAACTATAAATTTTAGAAATTATTTAAACTCCCACTTTGAGGGAAAAATCCCAATGAGGTATGTGCTTTTGTGGCCAATTAGAAGTAAAGGTTGGAGGGGGAACAATCAGAGGGAAGAAAGAGAAAGGAGGGAAAAGAGAGAAACAAAAAAAAAAAGGGGAGGGGGGGGAGAAAGGATAGGGTCTGTTTCGACCTGTGTACCCCGGCGACCAAATCAGTCCTTCTGGCCCCTTTTTCCGGTGAAATTTCATCGGGGGAAATATTGAGGAAACACCCTGATCCCTTTTCTTCATTTTTCACCCATAAATTTAGTGAAATTGGCTTTGATTTCTCTTAGAGCTTGCCGACGGGTTCGTTTGGGGTGTGGCATTGATCGGTCCATTTTGCAGGTACCACCATCGAGTACCACCATCAATCAACTTGTTTTGGTCCCAGGAACAAACCCCAAACATAATTTGGGGCGACGGAACACTGGAAATATCGAATTGAAGTGGAACCATTACTAGGGTTCCGGTTAATTTAAGTGGAATTGGGGCCTTTCCCGGTCAAATTGGACTTGGCCATAGGTATAAAACTTGATCTACTCATTGAGATCTTCATTTTTGTAAAATTTGGTAAATTTTGGAAATAGTTGGTATTTCTGGCGAATCGGGCCTGCCGGCCGCCATGTGCGGCGGCGTAGGGCCAGTGGGCCGACGCTGTCTTTTTAAGTTGAATTCAATGTTCTAGTTTCAAAATTGATAACCGTTTGATATAGTTCGATAGTTTGAACCTAGTATGGTGAAGTACGTTACTTGATCATTTTATGATTCGACTATCAGACTGTTGGATTGTCACCAAACCCTAATGCGTTATAGAACATAATATTTGAGGATAACTGGAATTTACGAATTGGAAATCCGATGTATGGATCTTCCCGAATTAGATTTCTAAGTTAGTAAAATTAATTGTTAACTGCCACCTAATTCTAGCAATTGGTGGAGATCTGAACGTCGGATCGCGATGAGATTTTAGAATGTTGTTTTTTGAGCACAATGTGGACCTTAGGAAGTTACGGATCTAGATTATGATGTGCGAATCTTCGGGATTAAATTGCTAGGGTGTGGACCCCACCGTTGACGCTTGGTTAACAGGTCTTGAACCATTTGAATTACTAAAATTAGTATTACTGGAGACTCAGTGAGGCCTTGCGGTCTTGTCTCGGTGAGTGACTTTAATATATGTGATATGGTTATTACCCTGTTTTCTTATATTAATATCCTTTGTGGATATGACATGGTTTTTTAATTGTGTTTTCTGTTAAAATGTGATTCTTTTATAATTGGCCATCTATCTATTTTTATTAAATGTGATTTGATTCATGGATTGGTAATATTTGTGAAAAAGTGATTCGAATTGCATATTGAAATGTTTTGTAAATTGAGGGCTAGTGGGGGACTATGACCCTGCTTGGTTAATTCGCATTGGGGGGTCACTAATGGTCCTGCTTGGTTAATTCGTATTGGGGGACCATACTATATATGGATCGTGCTTGGTTAATCCGTGTTGGGCGATCCTTATGGCCATTTATACTTAGGGTGATCATGCTTGGTTAATCCACGTTGGGTTATCACTACCTAACAGTTCTGTAAGTGTGACTCTGCTTGGTTAATCCACGTTGGGAAGTCACTACCTATCTGATTATCTTGACCCTGCTTGGTTAATCTGCATTGGGGGGGTCACTAGTGGTCCTGCTTGGTTAATCCATATTGGGGGACCATACTATATGTGGATCACACTTGGTTAATCCACGTTGGGTAATCCTTATGGCCATGTATGCTTAGGAGTGATCATGCTTAGTTAATCCACATTGGGTTATCACTTCCGAACAGCCGTAAGAGTGACTCTGCTTGGTTAATCCGCATTGGGGGGTCACTGCCTATTTGGTTACTTTCTGGGTGGCTCTGTTTGGTTAATCCTCTTTGGGGGGCCACTTCGTGTTTGGTTACTTATGTAGGCTTAGGCCGAACTGCGTCTTTCTAGCCCTAGTTTTTAATGTACTATGAACGATGGTTTTTTTGAGAATCTTGGTGGTTTGAATGAGAAAAACCGTTGGATGTCTGGGTGACTCCTACGGTTTTTTTCCGCGACTTGATTATGATTTCGTAAAGCATGATTTTATACTTAATGTTTATAGATTGTGATCAACGGTCTGTTTTAATTGAATATCACATACTTGTATCATTGTCACTCACCTAAGCTTCGCAGCTTATCTGAGTGCCTGATTTGCCCAGTGTACCATTCCCATAATGTAGGCATTGATTTTACATGTGACAGGTCTGGGTAGATTATGAGAAAAGTGGTATGGAATCCTTGCTCTTGCTCATTTCCATGAGGTTATCTTAGAATCCTAGATTCAAGTGAATGTGAATTACCCACATTTAGCCTTGTGAATTTATTTACCATGTTATTGCTCATAATCCAAGTAGGAAATTATATAAAGTTCCTTGGTTAAGTTCGTAAAATGATATTTTATCGCATTGATTGATTAACGTAAATAAATGTTAAGATCATGCAATTTTGATTCATGAATTGATTAATTGACGGAATTGCGGAATGACTTTGGAAATGGATGTTATTGTTATGATTATTTTAGTTGATCAATGTGGCTTGAGAAGAATATTGTGCTTCGTCATTGGTTCTTTGACAAATTGCATGGTATGCATTGTGATATATTGTTGAGACATAGCGATTTATGTGATGGATGTTTGAGTGTAGTGAAATGACGAACTACGAATGGCTTGATCCCTATTGAGGGTACGTAGGCAGTCTAATGAGGAGTTTAGATGCAGCCATAAAATATACGAAAAAATTATTACGCAATTGGATCTCTAGTTGTGTTTTGCCCATATCCCGGAGGAGAGGTATGTTAGAGATACGGGTATTTGGTGACGTCACGTGTTGATACTGGACGTATGTCGGGATCGGGATGTGACATATGTGGCTTACGATCAAAAGTTATACTTATATACAAAAAGTAAAATAGTCGATTGTAGACTTTGTATTGCATAATATGCCTACTTCATATAATTGCTAATAAAGGAACAATTCCTTTCTTTACTGACATTAAAAGGAACATCAATTCCATATAATGTCCATTGCTTTCATCCTTAAGCACACACCACAGATAAAACTAACGAAGGATCCAACACATCAACGAACTAATCAATATCATTTTATATTTACTAATTGCTATAACGCAAAAGCACAGAATTGTCTTCAACTTTTTTCTTAATTCTCCATACAACCAATCATAACAAAAGAAGGAAGGGGATGATGCTTACCTCTTTATCGTTGATCACATCCATCTCTTTGATTAGTCTATTATATGCCCATGCTTCTCAAATTACTGAACGAAGGTATCTTTGACCAGATAATAC